AAGGGGGAACTGTGGCTTGCCTGCTGCGTTAAGTCATTTTTCTTCTGAAAGGTGTTTCATCAGTATTTGCATTCTCTGACTAGCTGGCAGTCCCTCCCCATCAGAACCTTTTGTATAGCAAAACTGTGCAGGGAGCTCTAAATCCGTGTTGTTCGTGTTGAATGGAGCACCCTGTTCAGTGCTGTCACAAAGAGCAGAGGTAGCTTGTCCAGCAGTGGCAGAGGTGTATTTGTCATCACAGGGAGCAGATGCTAAGTTCCCTCCGTAGATGTGACTGAGAAACGGTTTGTGGGTGATTTTTCGCTGAATTGTTCTTTTCCCTCTCTTCCATTCTGACTCTAATACTGTTTGTATTTGGTTTGGGATGCAACAGGACATGATTTTAAACTTGCTTTCATCCTCCCTTAGGATTATTGAGCTGTGTCATCAGTTCCCTCATGGTATCACAGACCAGGTGATTCAAAATGACATGCCTCACATGGAAGCCCAGCAGCGAGCCATGGCGATCAACAGGCTGCTGTCGATGGTAGGGTGATCTCACCTTCCTCGTGTTACTTTAGCCAAACTGGAGCACTCTTCGTACGCACAGTCTGCACGGTAGCAACCTGTTGGGCAGGGCTAGCAAATTAATCCCTTTGGATTTAGTAGCATTTCCTGTAATGTACAGTTGCCATAACTTTTGGTTGCCAAAAGCACTTATGATTGCCAAAGCGGATTAAAACATACCTCAACTTACTCTTCTTATTCTGTAATACAGAGTTACCATGAATTTGTACATCCCTGTTGGTTTCTAGGTGAGGAAGCTACCACTGAGAAGTACCACATTTGGTTTTTGATGTGTCTAAAGTTCTTTGGTCTTCTTTTCCCTGTCTGTTATATTGTAAAGCAGATTGTGATATGGTGATCTAATGCGAGAGGTGCAAGTGTAGCTGCAGTGGTTCAGTAGTAAGACAGCCACAGGTGATAACCATAAGGCCTGTTAGTGATGGAGAATGAATTCACTAGAATGATGTTATCCCATGCTCTTTTATGTGACGGTCTTCTCTGAACCCCTCACAATATCCCACAGTTGTGGATTACTCTGATATTAAGCATGTGAAACATCTCCAGAGACTTTTTGCATATTCTATACATTTCCTACACCTCACTGGGTGTTTTCCTTTACTGTATCAGGAGTCAGCCTAAGGCAGGAGTGAGGATCACTGTCAACTACTTCTGCCACGTGTTCAGGAACAGATAGTGGCTGTTTAGTCTTGTTGGTTCAGTGTGGCGTTAACTTGAGTATCAGCTACATGTTCAGGGTCTTTAAAGACTGAGATTCCTTTTGGTTCCTTAACTAGCTGCTTCATGGGCGTGTGAAGTCAGGAAATAAAAAGGACTGAGTGGTGCAGTGGGGAGAGCACTGTTGGAAAGAAGGGCTTTCTCAGAAAGAGGGATGTTGGAAAATATCCATACTGGGCGAGTTGTGGTGTGTTGGTTTGTTTTAATAACTGAAACTGCCTAGCTTGGACCATACTAGGTGGCACTGGAAGTAGTCTAATCTCTCTCTTTTTGGTCTTTCTGTTATAGATGTGAGGTTTATCAAAACATTGGATGTGAACTTACATGTTAAATAACTTAAATGGGTTGGCCAAATTTCACGACGAAGCTTCAAAGATGGTGAAGTCTGTAGAATGTGTTTAAAATAGGTGCCTTGGGGCAATGGGGTGTGTGTGGGGAGGTTTAGTAAGTACCTCAAACGTGGGGAAAATCTGCAGTGAGAGCTTAGCCTTAATAAGCGTCAGGTACTTCACTTGAGGTAAGCTGCAAGTATTTAATCTGTAGAAAAGCATTGATAGGGGATCATCTTGAAGTATAAGCTTCAGTCAGCCCCATAATGCAAATCTATAGGAAACAAGTCTGTACCTATGGGGAATGGATTAGCTAGCAATGAAAGAGGGAATGTTAGTTAATGCTGTTGTACACAGTTATGCTCTTGGGCTTGTCTAATCGCTTGCCGCTTCAAAATAGGAAATAAGAATTTGCCTGGCCTAGGCACAGGTGTCAAAGGCAGAATAAATATTTTATGTGTGAGAGATGCTGTTAATTTGCCTCTGAGAGACACTGTTAATACTGGCTGGCAGTTTTCCAGTGGTCTCTGCTTAGTAAAAAATAGAACTTTGCTACTGGAACTCAGAATTGTTCGAAACTTGTGCAGTAGAGCTCCAGCATGGTTTCTGGGTAGCCGTGCAAATGAGTGTTTTGGTGGAAAGGGAGAACAAAGTGTACAAGAACTTGGTGCCCCTCACGCAATGGTGAAAGTTAGGAGGAATAATAGGAATTGCATAGATGTTGTGGGAAGGGAGAGGAACTGTATTTGTTATTTCTGATAGGTGATGATAAGTGGATGCTTGTAGGGGGAAAAATATATCTTCAAGGGTATCACCGTACTGGTAGGGAAAAAATTTCCCTCAAGGGTAATATTTTTTTCAGTGGTTAGAAATGTTTTCCCTTTTCTTTATTCAGTTGACATGAAATAAAGTTTTTAGTTTAGAATATTAAAAGATTCTTGCCATGTTCTGAAACAAGCTATTTGAAGAAAAATAGATGCATTGTCCCCATCTCTCCTAGGGGCAACTGGACCTTCTCAGGAGCAATGCAGGCCTCCTGTATAGAATCAAAGAGTCTCAAAATGCAAGGTAAGCCTCGTGTTTGCTGGATAAATATATTTGGGACACAGTTCTGCAACTCACATGCAGCGTTGCTGAGAATACACTCAGCAATGTAATATGGATTCTGTAACAGGAGTGTTGCAGAGCGTAACGGCTTGTTTCCAGAGGGTACACTTCACTCCCCTGAGCTCACCCTGAGAACTGTTTTAGCTACAGTGGTTTCTACTGGAGAGGGGGTGCCATGGGACTACAAGTCTAACTTGCTAGCAGAGTTCCTGGTCCAGATGGCAGCGAGGTGATCTATGCAAACATATGCATAGGCTCAGGTGAAAGCCAGCTGAAGCCCGACCGCACCATCTGCAAACTGTGATTCTGTGGTCTTCCTCACTGCTTGTGTCACAGTATCAGCACTCATATTAACAGCTGTTCCAGGAGGTCACTTGAACTGCTACTCATGCTATTTGATTTATTAAAATGTACCTTCAAACCATGTCTTGTGGTGCCCATGTAAATCTGAGCAAAAGATGCCTTAGACATTCTTCTGGAAAGAAACATCCTTCAAAATTACCCTCGGTGCAGGGGTGTCATCCTCTCTTTCACATGCTTTAGAAAAAGGTTGCTGAGTTCAGGATTTCTCAGACCAGTGAAAAAGCATGTTTTTAGAGTTGGGAACATGTTACTATCCCTTTGTAGACATTCTGACTAGAGACAGAGTATGCTAAATTATGCTCCGTGCTGTGTTTGACCTTCCACAGTTGTGTTAATACGGGACTCTGAATTCCCCATTGTTATGACAAGTTGAGTGACTCCTGCTTAGTCACTTTTCTTTCATACTATGCTCTTTTCTCTTTACTGTGGTTTCTCACTGGCAAGCTTGGCTTGAACCAGGGAGGTTTAGTGTCATATATTGTATTTGCCAATGGCTGGCTTATTGTGTAGGGTTTTTTTTTTCCTTTGTGCGTTGTTTTTTTTCATAGTACTTGTTTTCAGTTTAAAACAAATGCAACTTCTTTCAAATTTTGGACCTTTCAGAAATCCTGATGTCTGTCTTATTTTACAGTAAAATGAAAGGCTCTGACAATCAAGAGAAGCTGGTTTACCAAATTATAGAAGATGCAGGCAACAAAGGTAGTTTAAATAATTTATAATTGTCAATGGTACTAACTCTGTTTACTTATGGAACTGTTTCTGTCCAAACTTTTAAATGCTTGTCAAGACAATACAAATATAAAATCTAGAATCCCCATACGAGATCTGTAGCTATTGTTCCACATGTCTGCTTCTTAAAAACAGAAGAGGACGTGTTTCTGTATTAAAATAGCAACCTGTCCTGGTTGGCTTTTGGGGGGGCTCTTTCAGAATATTTGGAATATGAATTATGAGTTACCTGTGGGACTGTCAAGCTAAGGAATACACAGAACACTCACTGCTTAAAAGGAAATGTGATACCTATATTGGATTTAACAGGTGCACTGCCAGCAGAAACTGCTGGTAACTAGGCTTTTTCAGCAGTCATTGCACACTCTGCTTGACAGATGGCAGGTAGAACTGGCTGTCATACTTTTGCTGAAGCAAAAACTAGTTACTGAAAAATGCAAGAACATTTCTGTGATGTATTCATGTTGGCAGTGAAACAGGGTCCGCTTGTAAGAGCTCTCTGAGGAGACGTAAAGGGCAGAAGGACAGTGTGGTGGTTGTGGTATGCATTATTGGTTGTCAGTTGCTTTTTTGTTCCATCACCTTCTGTCTGTTCCCTCGCTTTTACCAGGAGTGGTAGGATCGGGGATGCACCCGATGGGTGGCAAGGGCATCAAGCAATGTTGTGATGTGACTTTTGGTTTGTGAGTGTGTACAGAAACAAATGGTTTCTTCTATTCATTTCTGTTCACTTCTCTGATTTTAAACAGGTATTTGGAGCAGGGACATAAGATACAAAAGTAACTTGCCTTTAACGGAGATCAACAAGATACTGAAAAACTTGGAAAGCAAGAAACTAATTAAAGCAGTTAAATCTGTGGCAGTGAGTATTTTGTAACTTTTTTTAAACAGTTTCAAACGTTTGCTGCATGCGGTGTATGTTCAAACAGGGGACCGGGAGCAGAGAAAACTCCTTCTGCCTCCAGCTTTGTCACTGACTCTGTACCAGTGTTTGACACTCTGCCTTTAGTATGCAGGTTTGAGGTGCAACAGATACAAGAGGCTATAATGTTCATTAAATAATCAACTTACTACTAACGACTGACCAATAACCTAATGAATAAACACATCACTATTAATATACAGTTCTATCGCTCTTCCCACCACTACTAATTACACACCATTACTGTCAAATTGCAGTCTGAGTTCTCTTAATTCTTTATTGCACACAACTGTTGTTATCGTTCTCTGCCTTTCACAAACCTCTTGCACTGCTTGCTTCTACTCTGCAGTTCTGTTACCTGGTCCTTGGGACATAAACCTAGGGAAGAGACGGGTGGGTTTCCCACCAGCGTACCGATGGGTTTGGGTCCACAGGTCAGCCTCTCTGCTGTCTGCAGGCACCCAAACTCCTGCTGTCTGCAGATCCTGCCCTCTCTTGTTCTCTGGTTTTTATACCCCATTCTCCTTTTTTGTTTCTTAACTCTCTTTTCTACCACCCTTTTCTCCTTTCTCCCCTCAAATAAGCAACCTGCCTGTAATTGCTTTTTCTCCATTGGTCCCAGTTTTGCTGTACCACAATTTGGTATTTCTGATACTGAAGTAATCTCCTTGTATGGGACTAGAGATATGGTTACCTAGCTGCAAGTGGCCTTGCAAGGTTCCTCTCCCCCAGAGATCCTGAAACTCCCCTCGGTTATCTGGTTCATACTGGATTTGTATTGTTTGCTTTAGACAATTTCTAAGACATTTGATTCTGTTTTAGTCTTGGTTGCTCTACTTTGTTCCAGTTACTCAAGTACTTTCTTATCTTATGTGCAAACAGTCCATGTGCCAGAAGAATAGGTCTTATCCTTTTCCATGCTTTTTCTCATGCTGTTACAGTGCTTAAACAGCATCCTGCTCCCCTTACCTGCTTAATTACAGATCGTGAACGTTAGCATGTTCTTTGGACATTCTCCTGGTTTCCAGCAGAGGTTCTGTCTTGTTACAGGGCCTGGTACACCAGGAAGACTACTTGTTTGTGAACTCTTGGAATTTTTAAGTTTTGTGGGGGTTTTTTTGTGTGGCAGTCTCATCTTCTGCACTATGGCTTGTGTGTGAGCATTTGGCGGGGGGGTGGGGGTTGAAGGGGAGTGAGAGGTGAGACTAACTTCCTAAATAAAATGGAGACAAAGATGTTGGACATAGTGAGGCAGTAGCTTTTTCATGTTCTTGTGCAGGATGCTGACTTAGTCTAGTCACACAGGGGATGTAATGCTGCTAAAATGCTTCAGTGGTTGCTGGGTAGTCCTTTGGACAACCGTTGTCCTTTGACTACTAATATCAGGAATGAGGCAGCGTTCCCATTCACCCCATCTAGGTGTGGCAATAAGGAGTGGGCTTGCAACGGCTAACTTTAGCTGCAGGGTTTAATCATGTAAGGATCCTCCTATCACCAGTGCATGGGTTGAATCCTGCAGAAACAGTTGAGAGCTTCTCGGTAAAGTTTGTCTTTGCTGTCTCTGAAGACACTTTTCTGCCCTCCTCCAACTGTTGAGGGGGATTAGAGTCAATAGGCTAAAATTAAACTGTGAGGTCTTCTTCAGTGAGGTTTGTATTGTGTGTGCATTGTTAGTAGGATTGTCTCTTCTAACCTTTATGTTATAAAATGATTAGGAATCTAAATGTATTGATCTTCTCTTTATCTCCATGTTAACTGAGGGTCAAACATGTTAAGGATAGCTTGAGTCAGCTGGATTGCTGTGGCCCAGGTTTTAGGAGTAATGAACAATCTCTTTTGCAGATATCTTAAATCTTCCTTTCTTAAGGAAGTTGAGAGCTGTGTGCTTTTCTCTGACAGGCATCCAAGAAGAAGGTGTATATGCTATATAACCTGCAGCCTGACCGGTCAGTGACTGGTGGGGCTTGGTACAGTGACCAAGACTTTGAGTCCGAGTTTGTGGAGGTGTTAAATCAACAGTGCTTTAAATTTCTGCAGAGTAAGGTGAGTGCCACTACTGAAGTCCCCTTTCATTTGTTTCGTGCGAGTAATTATTTTCTTTACAAAACCAGTGACAGGCAAGGTTTAAGTTTTCAATAAATGCTGACCGTTGTTACAGTTGGATTGGCAAGTCTGTACTGGACTGTTGTTTTTGTCACAGCAAGTGTGATGGTGTTGCATTTTAATAATGCATATTTTCACACCCTGCACAGAGTGAAGCTGTCTGTCTCCAAGGCCAAATGACAAGCTAGGCAGCAAAGAACACAGGACCAAAAAATGTTGCAAAAGTCACTGTGTTCCCTGCAGAGCTCCGCATTTATGAGAGGGTAGAAGGCAGTAGTTAGTCAGCTCTGCCTAGAATACAATTTTCTCTAGTTGAACTGCGAGAGAATCCAAGTCCTGTGCAGATTGCAGCACTTCTCTGTTCCATTAAAATACATTTTAACTGGCGCTGGGTACAGCAGAACCTTTTTTTGTCAACAAAATACCCAATGCTGATATTCCTTCATATTAATCTAAATTACTGTGTAAATTTTTTGTCGTATTTAGTGTAAAACTGTATTTGGTTGTGCACTGCATTGTCTCATGTGCGTCACTTGAGGACATAGCTTTAAATGCTAAATAAAAAACATGTCACAGAAATGGTTGGGAAATCAACTTTCGTACTTCAGTCTGCCTGAAACTGAGCTGCGAAGCAGGCTCTTGGCTGTGAGTACTGACTATAACTCATCTTTGCTTTTTCCTTAGGCAGAAGCAGCTCGAGAGAGCAAACAGAACCCCATGATACAGAGGAACAGCTCATTTGCCTCATCCCATGAGGTGTGGAAATACATCTGTGAACTGGGTATCAGTAAGGTCAGAATTGATTCATCTTACTACTATCAAAATTGTCAGTGCATGACTAGCTATAGGAGTTAGGTCCTGCAAATTTGGTGAGGGTCTGATAAGTGCTTTAGTGCCCTGCGGTTACTGTAGTGGAGGTGGGCTTTGCTGGTTTATTGCTTATAGAGGAGGGTCATTGATACTGCGTGAGATGCCAGGATAGTTTGTACATGTGGGCATACAGATGTATAAAAGAATTAGCGTTCATATACTTGTTGATATTAAACTTACTTGGAGTAAGTTTTCCTTTTACTCCAGTCTCAGCTAGTTTATAGTTTATAATTTCTCTCAAGTTTGCCTATGTACTTCAAGCAGTTTTCTGGGAGGGGGGAAATCAAAAAGCAATTATTGGTCACCATTAGCAGGTATATCTTCAGCAGTCTTGTCTTTTTCTGCTTTCACGATTATTTTCCTGTAAAACTGGAAATGAATCGTGCTAGGATGATGTAGGCACTCGAGTTGCATAGGGAAGTTCTTTTTGGTAAGCCAAGGCTAATGTAATCCAGAAGTGCTTGGGAGGTAGGAGGTATTGGTATTTGCTTTTCTTTTTGTATCTGCACACCCCATAAAGTGCCCAGCGGGAGCAGTGCCTTTATCTGGGCTAGGGTAGAACTCTTAAGGATTTGTTACTCATGGTGTTTGCTCGTTTCCTCCTTGTAGGACTTATTGGCATGAGTCTTTCCTAATATTTATTTTACAAACTGTTTCTTAGGTAGAGTTATCAATGGAAGACATTGAAACCATTTTAAATACACTAATATATGATGGAAAAGTGGAGATGACTATTATTGCTGCGAAGGAGGGGACGGTAGGCAGTGTGGATGGACAGATGAAGTTGTACAGAGCCGTTAGTCCTCTCATACAACCCACTGGGTTAGTCAGAACGCCCTGTGGACTCTGCCCCGTAAGTAACTAATTCTGTACGTGAGTACGTGGGTGCGTGCAAATTTTGAATACAATCCTGAAAATGGTCAGCCGGCACATTGCAGGGTTTCACCTGTGAGGGATCCTTGTGGCTTTCTAAGCCAACTACGCTTACAAGTGTTATCCGTGATGCCTTAGCTGTGGTGTAAGAGACAGGTTCTTTAGACCAGAATGTTTCCCACGTACATCCTGTCTCTTTACTGGACTGTATGTGAAAGGGTACTGTCGAGTGTAGCCTGTTCTAAATTATATTATTACATTTTCTGATCCTAAGTTTGTGTATTTATGTTTTTTAACAAGCTAACTTACTTCTGTCTAGCTTTTGGTCTCTCCTGCTTGGGTGGTAAACTGATATATAGGTAAAAGTTGCCAGTGTGTCTGTTTGCATCATGTACTGTAGTGGGGTCTGTTTTGCTTTGTTGTGCTCACATTACTGTTCCTCAGAGCTGGCTTTGGATTTCCTAGATTTTGGCTTCTGTTAAAACCACTGCTTTTCTACTGGGGAAGGAGCAGAAAACGCGCGAGCATGTTATTTCCAGTTAGATCATGCTTGCTGTGTATAATTACTGACACAGGGCTTTCTTTTGCAGGTTTTTGATGACTGCCATGAAGGTGGTGAGATTTCTCCATCAAACTGTATTTATATGACAGAGTGGCTGGAGTTTTGAAGTGAAAGAAAACTGTAAAATGGATTTGTGTTTCACAGCCAAGATGACAAAGCAGCTTGCTTTCCTAAAAGCAAACTTCTAAACTTGTGAGCGGCTTCAGGACACGGAGTGACTTTGTTTTTAATGAAACATAAGGCAGCAACAGATCAGTTGCATGAACAGTCTGATAATTCTCTTCCGTAATAGTTACCGTCTAATTGACGACCAAGAACCTGATGTAGCAAAGATCCTAAATGTGTCAAACAGAACTCCCTGATTCTTTATTATCTTTCTTACCTGCTAATTTATCATTAAACCCCTGATTTTTCTTATGTACATCTGTGCTTCATTTCCTCCATTGCTGCCATTGCCTGGTGCAATGTTATATTTACATGCATCTGTTATATTTATTCCTTCATCTGACACCTACAAGATCATCGTCAAATCTGTGTTGGTGTGTTCTGACAGCTGCATCATGTACATGGGTATGTCAGCTGAAATTTTGAGTAGAAGTATTCTTGGAAGGTGTGTTTTTTCAGGAGAGAGAAGGAGTTCCTCTGGCCTGATGGTACAGGGAAAATTTTTATAGATTGTCTGAATACCCTCAGGGTTGAAAAAGATGCCACTGACAGTTGTTTGTACATAAATATGGCCTCTGGTCTTAATTTGTGATCTGAGAGAGGCATGATACCGGCACAGCATCAAAAAGCACAATCTTCTTTTCCTGTGATGTAGAGCCAATTTGTGTTTCTCTTAAGCAGCTAGAGAGGTCTCACTTATCTGCGTGACTCTGGACTGATGAATGGCAATAACCTATAGACTGTGGTGGTGTTGTAAGCCTCATGCCCGGGGTGTGCCCAGCCATGGACCACTTAATAGAGAGAGCCGTGTCTAGTTTCCTCTGGCTGTTGCTGCCCATCTGGCAGTATTAGAGGGGCGATACTGCCTTTAGAAAATATAGCTTCAAATCCCACTTGCAAAGTAAACAAGGTTTTTGTACCAACTATGTTATGCTAATTAGTTACTGCACCTCTTCTTTAATCTGTAATCAAGGAACCTCTAGGGAAAAAAATGTCTTCTCATTGTTCATAAATGAGAATATTGTGCGTATATGGTACAGCCAGCTCTTCCAACATCCGGCTGCAAGAGGGCTGGAATGAAGTACTAGCAGGCAGGGCAGTGTAGGCGTGTGAACCATGCAGAGACAGTCTGGTCCCAGTACAACTTGCTACCTGTGGCTTAATCGCGCTGCATCTAGGCTGGATCTCTACGGAACTACTCAGTATCTTCATGATAGCCTCCCAGCACTGGGAAACAATTAGTGGGTCTAGCACAACACTGGACCTGTTGCATCTAGCTTTTTTCAAAATTGCCTGTCTGAAAATAAGCCCTCCTAGACACCGTGTTGGGAAGGCAATGGTCAAGCACCTCTACAACTGAGTTACCAGTGTCCCAGGTAATCTGACAATCAGCAGTTAACTGGGTAGTAGGTGGGCTACTGTACAGAGATTTTTATAAGACAGTTTACCTAATAAGGTAGGAGACAATATCAGATGTTTCAATACTGTCCAGGAGTCTGCACCTTCTAAAAGCAGCCTGCGTCCTATTTAAGTGTTCAGATCTTGATTCCCGTTTTCGTACTTACAGCGTGGGTTGTGGACAGAAGGCTAACGGTGGTTAAGTGCAATATAAAGGATTAAAAAAAAAAAAAGGCTCCTGTCCTATACAGGGAGGGCATAGATACAGAGGCAAAGGCACCTTGTTTGGAGGCAGCTAGGCACGCTGTCTCGACTGGAGCAAACAACTAGTACTGATAAGCTCCATGGAAGGAGTTTGATTGTGTTAGCTAGTGTGAGCACCCACAGTCGGCTCTTTCTTTTGTTGCAGTGTTGTCTCCAGCTGGCAGGGATGCATATCTCTACAGAGGCAGAAGCATTCTCACAAAAGAGATGTGGGGGTGAAATGATCAGATGTTTGTTCTTTTTCTGCCCCCTTTAGCCACTCAGCACACTAAAGCCTGAGGAAAAAGCTGCTTGCTTCACTGGAGGGAGCCTTAACCTCAGCTGCAGATATCCGTTATGTGGCCAGAGGTAACGTCATTGAGGTGTGGGGCTGAGGTTGCCTTTGTCTTCCCCCTAGTTCAAAGAGGACCTGAGACAATGGGGTCCTGAATCCTGTAGCTGCAGAGATAACGAATTGTTTGTGCTTTACTGCAGCTAGAAGATAGCTTTCAGGGAAACAACACGTCTTTATCATGCAGGTATGTCATTTTATGCAGTATAACCATATTCATTGGCTGTAAGAAAAAGGAGAGGGAGAGCTTGTCCTCAGTGAACGGCTTTAGGAAGTAGAGCGCTGTTTTATTAAGCTCTAAATTCTGGCTCATCTGTATTTGGTTTATCTGGTTTAGATGACCTTTGTGATCTCTGAAGTTTCTTAGTGTAGCAGCTGCAACAAGACTTCTCAAATTTGGAAAAAACCATGCCTTTAGAGAAAAGTAAAGCAATTTCACTCTCCTATCTGTAAAATAGGAATCTGTCTGATCTGTTTCAAAATGAATTGGAGGAATGATCTGTTGCTCTCTTTCTTCATGAACTGGCTAACCTATCAGCCTGTAATTCTTTTTCAAAAAGGGAGTGAATGCTAAAAGGTAACATTAATAGTCTAGTCTTTATTCCCTCCCTGAGTTCCTTCAGTCTTCTACCTGGCAAAGCCTTTACAAAACGTTTACAAACTGGTATGAAATGTAATGTTTTGGGGAAGCTGTAGTACTGAGTATGAAAACACTTATGTGTAGAAGGTTGAGAGCTGGAGTTAACCCTCAAAACATGGACGGCCACTTGGAAGCATCATCCGCTCATTTTGTTATGCAAGCCTCATACAAGAGAGGTCACGGTTCAGCTGCTGCAGGACCATGGGGATCCTCCTTGGTCAGCGAGCTCAGCCCCATTACCACGAGCCCTGGGGCGTGCAGACCCTGCTGGGGACTGACCACTGGGCCGCTGGGGACCGACCGCTGGGCTGCTCTGAGCTGCTTCCTCACTAGTGGTAACCGACCGTACAAAAGCTAGCTGGAGGGTGGTCACACCCGAACGCCACTTTCACATGGAATCAAGCACAAGATTGCTTTTTATTTCCAAGAAAAACATTAACTACAGTATAAGGCTGTATTGTTGAACTGAGGGAGAGTACAGGGAGCGGGGTACTGTTTAACATGTCCAGCCTTTGCAGTCCAAAGTTTAAAGCATTAATGGAAAACCTGAGGCTTTGATAGCGAAGACGTTTACCCCGTGGCTGAGTGGCTCCTGCTGAAGGTGTGAACCGTGCTGGTGGTTCATCGGGTGCTGTTCGGGTGCCACCTCCTGTCCTGTCCTGGTATGGCTGCCCTCGGGCTCGGGACAGAGAAGAGCAAGCTCTTCAGCCCAGCTCCCTCTTCCCGTGTTGCCACCACGTGCAGGGCGTTTTTCGGGAAGGAACAACAGCGAGCGGGGACAGCTGGGTCTCCTACCACTGCCAGACACCTCACGCTTTGAAACGGGGCACAGACACCTTAACAAACAGGGTTGTCCTCCACCATGCGCAGACCACCTTCCCCTTCGGGTGGCTGGGACCATGGATCTTCTCGTGGATGGGTGAGAAATGGGCAGCCAGGCCCTCAGCCACGCTGGGCCCCACGCAGCAGACAAAAAGGTGCCGAGAGGAGCTCCATGGCTGGTGTCCAAGTGCGTGTTGGAAATGTTGGCTTCCTACCCGAGAGAGTTAATTATTGCACCTCACGCACCCTTCAGGAGATCCTGGGGGGAGTGGGGAGGAGGGGAAGCGGAGCCCAAAGCATTCTCCTCTTACAGTTGTTAAACACAAAACAAGTTGGGGCTTATGCGCGCAGCCTGTGGGGTTTTTTTCCCCTGCTTTCGCTTTCTGAGCAAGCTTGTGGTTGTTCCAGGAAACCAGAAGAATGGGAAAGCTTTTACTTCAGTTATTTGGTCTAGAAACGCAGGCCTTTAGGATTTTGCTCCTCTTGCAAACTCACAGTAGCTGCTCAACGTTTTAATTAATCTAATGCTAGTAGGGTGGGTGCAGCATGGCCTTAGAGCCCTGGGTCCCAGTAAGGTTTTGTGCTCTGCTTTGGAGACACGGTGGTACGAGGAAGACGTAAAATGAAGGATAAACTAGCAACTCTAGAAGAGCAGATTTTCTTTGCCTCTTACTAATACTGCTTAGAAAGCAAGTCCTTGGTCTGAGGACATTAACAATAGTAGTAATTTTAATTTTATATACTTCAGCATATAAGCATAGGTAACATTCTTCTACTTTTTAGTTCCCCCTGAATTTGTGATCTTTCTGCTTGTGTTCAGATCTTACACAAGCAAATTTAACCCTCACAGAGCATGCAACTTGCCTTATGTCAGGAAGCTGGGAAGGCAAAATTAATGTTCAGCTCAGACAGCATCTCATTTGTTTTGTGTTGGCTCTGGAACATCGCCCTCCACTGTCAGTTGCTTCAGTAGAAAACACACCTTTTCTGCCCTGAATGAGTGGCTCTTGGTTAAAGTAGTTTCCTCAAGCATTCCCTGCATAATGCCAATCTCTCCCTGGAATTTGGTGTTCTGAAAATGGCCCTTATCTGTGTACTTATGTAGTTCTGCTCTGTATCTGTCAGACAATTCCTTCTGTCCCTTCCGGGGAAAGAAAGGACAGAAGGACTGTTGATGGATCCACACTCTACAATAGTCCAATGGCAGTTTGGTTAGATCTTCTCCCCCTGCCAGGGTCTGTTGAACTGTCTTGAGGGGCACAGAGAACAGAGGTGAAGACCCTGTCCTTCTCTCCTCAACGGTTTGTTTAACTTCTTGCTATTTCTAGTGTAAACAAACTCTTAAGACAGACTGTGAACTGGGAGCAGTCACAGACTTTTACAGGTGCTTGAAGGCTGAGATCACCTGTATTTTTATAGCTAAGCATTCCATTGTAGAATGCACAGTAATATTAAAACATATTTATATTCCTAATTGCTTATTATATGTCAAAGTTGGCCACATTTCCTATGCATGATTTACTAAAACCTTCATATATGTAAGAAAAGTGTAAGATGTGTCCCACAGCTCATAAAGAACGAACATCTACAGGCAATCTAAGCTCCACGGTTTGGCCAGCTTCTATGTTTCTTGTGCTAATTAACTGGGAG